GGGCTCCTCCACCCTCTGCTGCTGCATCTCCCCATCTCAGAGTGTGGGTGCAGCTCAGCAAGGTCCCCCCGAGACCCCCCTGCCCTCCGTCCCTTCCTGCTGCCCCATGCTGGCCTGGGAGGGCTTCCCAAGCTCTGGGGAGCACAAAGTTTGAAAAGCAGAAGACTGGCTCTTTCTGTGTCTATTCTGCTTATTATTATTATTCGGATTATTCTGATTATTATTCTGATTATTACTATTATTACTATTATTATTAATGTCATTCCTTCCTCACCAAGCCTTATTTCCTGTCTTATGGGAGAATTATTTCTTTGTTACTTTTGTGGGATGTGTACACCACCCCCACCAGTAAAAGAGAGATGAGGATTGATCTTTTCCCCAAATCCTGCAGTGTGCATTCACTTCAGGTTTACTCCGTGCCTTGGACAGAAAACGCCTCGTCCCCCTCAGCTGGAGCCCAGGGGGGGCGGCTGCAGGGTGTCCCACACACCCACAGGGTGTCCCACACACCCACGGGGTGTCCCACACACCCACAGGGTGTCCCACACACCCACAGGGTGTCCCACACACCCACAGGGTGTTCCACGGGAATTCCAGGAGGAACCAATTCACCAAATATCCTGGGACACCTTCAGGCCACGGGGCTCTTGTCATGGCTTTCCAAAAGCAGGCTGAGGGGCGAGGTGAGGTGAGGGAGCTGCGGGAGGCAGAGCAGGATTTCACTCGAAAATGCTTTGTTTTAACAAGGATTTTTATGTGGAGTCACTCGGATTGGAGCTCAGCTTCTCGGTGCTGTAACCTCGATTTCCATCAGAACACAGAGGGGTTATCAAAAGCACTGATAACAGATCCCACAGAACTCCTGACAGGAGATCCCAATCCCACAGAACTGACAGGGGATCCCAGTCCCACAGAACTGACAGAGGAACCCAATCCCACAGAATTCCAATCCCACAGAACTGACAGGGGAACCCAAGCTTCTCTCTCGTACCCACTTCTTGTAGGGGCCTTAATTCAATGGAGGGCTGGGAATTCATAGAAAGAAAAAATAATTTTGATCCTTCATGGCTTATCCTGCATAACTGTTGAAGGATTTCTATCCCTCAGACCATTAGGAACTGGCTGATCCGCAAATATTTAATAATTCACAGTGTATCAGAGGGTGCTTATCTCATCTAAACACAAGGACTTGACTTTAGAGAATGAAACACAGAATATAATTGGGAAATTAAAATTTAACATAAGACAGCACTAGAATCCTGACTGGAGGGATATGGAAAGAATTAGAGCCATAAGCAAAGCAACATGACCTCTGAATTCTGATTTTTTAATTATTACCATTGCAACAGCTCCTCCAGGTCACAGCAGCCCTCGGTCCCCTCCTGCCCTGCCAGTCTGTGCTTTCAGCCGTGTATAAAGCAGCACGAGGATAATTTGGGGGTTCATTGTTCACCCGCGCGTTTCTTCTGCCCTTGAGCAACATCCAAACGCTTCGTGTCCCCTTGGTCGCCTCCTCCTCGCACACCCAGCGCTTCTGCTTTCGCTTCCCGTGCCCTGCCCTCCCCGAGGCAGCGCCGGGCCGCCTGGGGCCTCTCTCCCTTGCTGCTCCCGGGGCCCTTTTCCTGCTCCTGGAGCCCTTTTCCTGCTCCTGGAGCCCTTTTCTTGCTCTTGGAGGCTCTTTTCCTTCTCCTTTTCCTGCTCCTGGAGCCCTTTTCCTGCTCCTGGAGCCCTTTTCCTGCTCTTGGAGCCCTTTTCCTGCTCCTGGAGCCCTTTTCCTGCTCTTGGAGCCCTTTTTCTGCTCCTTTTCCCTCTCCTGGAGCCCTTTTCCTGCTCTTGGAGCCCTTTTCCCTCTCCTGGAGCCCTTTTCCTGCTCCTTTTCCTTCTCCTGGAGCCCTTTTCCTTCTCCTGGAGCCCTTTTCCTGCTCCCGGAGCCCTTTTCCTGCTCTTGGAGCCCTTTTCCTGCTCTTGGAGCCCTTTTCCTCCTCCTTTTCCTTCTCCTGGAGCCCTTTTCCTGTTCCTGGAGCTCCTTTCCTACTCCCAGAAACCTTTTCCTTCTTTTCCTGCTCCCGGAGCCCGTTTCCTTCTCCTGGAGCCCTTTCCTGCCCCTGGCACTTCCACTCTGGGGCAGTTCCCACTGCGGGTCCCAGCCCCGCCAGGCAGACCCTGCGGGCAGGTGCCCTGGGGAGGGAGATGGGTCCTGCCCCGGGATGGGCACGGAGATGGGT